GTCACATGTGTATGAAGGTGGATCAAACAAGCTAATCTTAAATGTCAAAGTAGAGAGGAGCCTAGTAGGCCTATTTATTTTCATTCATTACACAATATGAATAAGCTATGCAGACAGTTGTAAAGAAAGAACATCTTTTTCTTCTGTTCTCTACTTGTTATAGTTACACAGTATTAGGGGTGTGGGCTGTATTAAAAGTATCCACTGTTCTCCCATGCTCTAACACACAGTAACGATGAAATGTGTGCTGTTCTCACATTCTCCCTCTGTATGTACACATAAACAACAAGGCAGGGAAATATAAAAGGAATTTATTTTATTGTTTGGGTACATTATTGTTCAGTGTACATGCTCACATCTGAAACAAACTTTACGTGCTTGATAACTCTCCCACCCCGCAGACATCTACATGCCAATACCGATTTATATTCATAGCGGCAAGTGCTATGTAGCTCCACATAGGGGACACAGGAAGTGACATATAGCACCTTCATGCGGCGTCGGAACCGCATAGGAAATTCACAGCCGCACCGGCTGAATGTGCAACTCGGCCGGCTCACACCCGGACGCGCTACAAGTGCGACGGCCCGCCCAACGCTGCTTGCAGCTTTAATTCTTCTTTACATTTCACTTATTATTCATATTTCACATCACACTTTCATGTGAAAGTGTGATGGTGTATCCCTGTACTTTAAGATCTTCTTGTAATTGAAATATTTCAATATTTAATTTAATCTTTTCAAACTCAATATTTTCTTTTTCTGCTTTAAACTATAGTGTTTCCTGTGTGAGCTTCTCAATTTCAGCTGTAAATAGTTGACATCTCAGTGTGTTCACATCCTCTTCTGTGCCAGGAGCAGGAAGCCTTCTGCTGCCTTTAGCACACTTAGCTGGTGGTGGATGGCTGCTGGGCCAAGATGACAGTCGAGTTGTCGGTTTTTGTCGGTTGATTGTTGGTCACATCCGGTCCAGTAAAGGTGGGCTCTGGCGGTTGGAGGGATGCTGGTTCAAGCAGACATGCTTCTGCAGATGGGGGGAGAGGTTGTTCAGCTGTATGATAGGGGGCTGGTGCTTCGGTTGCTGTTCCACTCTCAACCCCACTGGAAATGCCGCTCACTGAGGGGGAGTCCTCTCCCACAATGTCTAACACTAGCGCTGAGTATGGCCCCATGTTTGGCTTTGGTCCACCTCCTGCTGGGACATTTCGTGGAAATCAACGGCTTGCATTTTTAGGTCGCTCCACTTCTTCCTCACATCTTTTACATCCCTGTGCTCCACACCTTTTGCATTTATGGTGTCCGTTATATCCTCCCATATTTGTTGTTTCCATTTATTTGTTACAAAGTTGTTTAATTTCGATTCCAATGATTTTTTGTTTTGTTTATATTTTGATAGCAGGAAGTTTTTTTTTCTTGGTCTACGGTCAGACATGGCCAAATCCCTGAAACAGTACACAAACGTTAACTTAACATCAACATATCATTACAGTAGCCTATGTTACAGGGTAAGCAGGTATAGGCTAACTAAACTTGACATTAGACACTAACATTATTGTGTTGGCAAGCAAGTATATTGGGTTACATAACTCTTTAACTTACAACTAGGCCTACTAATTTATAACAGTTTGCTTGTGTATGTTATCATTATGTGTTCGTTATAATGTTACAATTTCATCTGTCTGTCGTAGGCTACGGTACTGTTCATTACAGGTACCGTTATATTACGCCTATGTTGTAGTAAATGGTTTTACCACTTGATGTCACTGTCATAATGCTTTGTCCTTGTTTACGTACCTGTTGTTGGTGTTTGGTGATTAACAGCTATTTTAGCCATTAGCCTCTTCAGTATTGGAAAAAGTTGAAAGAGAGAGAGACAAACGGGCGAAAAAAACGTAATAAATGCTCTAGAATAGTGCTGTTCACTGATTGACAATGGGATGCGTAAACGTCATTTTCTGCGACACTGTTTTGATTAGTATGGACTTTACGCCAGAGTAGCTAAGATGAACCTTACGTTTCGGTGGTGCAACCAAACATCGACACAACTTAAGTCTCAGTATATACCCTGAGAGACATCACAACTAACTAGTTTCAACGTATCGTTTAGTGTGGACTTTGCACCCTAACTTAAGGTAGAACTTACATATTGCTGGTGCAACAGGCTGTAGGTCTGTTGACATGCAGATCAAACAGAACGTCTACACCAGACCAGTGGCACAGATGGGAGTTCTAACTGCTTTTCCTAAAGGAACAGAATATAGTATTCAAGCTACAGGCATCCCAACACGCCTTTCTATGAAGCAAATGTACTTGTACTACATTTAAAAAGATTTTATTTTATGTTTTATATTTTGACAGGAATAATTTCAATGGGTTTAAAGGAACTGAGGTAAAAAAAAACGTGTGAATCAACCTTTGGAAATTTAGGTCTATAAAAATTATTCATCTGATTATGAATAAGAAACTCTCAGACAGATTTCTTACCCACTGATCTTACTTTGACACAGTTTGAAGAAATCACAACAAGAAGTTCAGCAGCAATGAATGAAAGGATTATGATAGAGTCAGCACTTTATGGCAAACTGAATTTTATGCCAGCAACATGTTCCAAAAAGGTTTGGACAGGGCCAACAAATGACTAGGAAAGATGTGGAATGCACAAAAACATTTTTTTGGAACATTCAGCAAGGTTAATACATAATGAGTAATAGTTTTATGATTGGGCATAAAAAGGGCATCCTCAGAGGACTCAGTCCTTCACAAGCAAGCTTTGGGCAGGGTTCATGACTTTGTGAAAAACTGCATGGGCATATTGGCCAACAGTTTAAGACTTGCAAAGATTTGTAGTCCACCACTAACACCCTTCCATCAATCTTCGCAGGGCAAATGTGAAAGCCAGTTGATGGGAACAGCAGTGACAAAGGCACAATTCAATACAATAAGTCAGTCTGGAACAGAACAGGAAATTACTCAAACTCACACACTTTTCATCTATTAACCTCAAGCTGGTCAGATTTTTTTTAATGAATGAAAATCTTTCACCTCAGTGCAACTAACTTTGTGAAGAACTTAGATTTTCCTCTGACATAAATAATATTACACATTTCATTACTGTCACATATTCATGTTTGTCACTGGCTTGACGGGGACACATACATGCAGTACAGGATGACCCAGGTACTAATTTGGAATCCACCGTTTGAAAAGATAGTAAACCAAATGCATTCTGCTTGTGTTTAAACATTTAGTTAAGCTACACAAACAGTCCACTCACTGAACGAGGCTGCCGATAAGTTAAAAGAATTATGACTTGTTTTATATGACACACACTGAAAGATTTCTATAATAAAATAGTGTTTTATTTTCCGTAACCAAGCAGCGCATCACATCCACACGCTGCGCACAGCGTTTGGCTCGATAAGGCAACAAACATGTGATAACAATACATGAAGCTATGCTCTCTATTTGCTCGACTGACGCATTGAAAACAGCATCAATTTAAATGTAATTTGTCCACCTGTTCACCTTATTTATGAGAATAAATTGCACTGCATGCAAGTATTAATTAATATGATTCCGGATTCCGTGTTCTTTTGCAGAAACAGATATCTCCGTTTGTGTTTATTATCCTCAATCTGGTTATTTTTATGTCCGCTGCAAATGATCTTAAATGATTTTTTTTTTGCCCACTTCAGGGAAAATAAAGGGGGACAATAAACAAAAAATTTCTCAAGCTAGGGGACACAAATGATACAGCCTAAAATATATAGGATACGTGTAAACAGAGGAAAGCCTTACTACAATTATTAGTGTAGCATGGAGACTGTGATGTTACCAAATTGCCATGACTTTTTGTACTTAATCTTTTCTCTGTCTTTTTATCTGGCCAACAACACTCAGCAATAGTTGTTTAATATGAGTTAGGTTCTTAAGTTTACCATCTGTCATATTATCCTAATTATCTGGCATCCTCCCCATAGTATTTTAGGTTTTTTCTGGGACAGAGGACGCCCTTAGTTATTCAACTGCAGAAAGCCAACTAATCTGCCACTTAACATCATAGTGAGCAAAACCTGAACACAAAGGTAGATCTACAATATTAGCCCAAGATCAGTTCACACACAGGCTTATCGCCATGTTAGTTGTAGTAAGAGATGCACTGATTACATTACATTGTCGATTATTGAAAGGTCTGACCTGCCGATTCCGAATATTTCTTTCTAACAACTATAACTGACAGCATACACAAACATCTTTATGTATTTTTCTTCTTTTTTCTTTATTACAACTTTTCTTTATTGGAAAATTCTTTTTTATTAGGATCAGCACCAGCATAAATTTTGGCTATTCTTACTGGCGTCCTTCAAGTGTATGATCATAATCAAACACTGATTATTAGATAACATTCACATTTTCACTGTATGGAGCTGTTTTGCTACAAAGCTACAAATAATATCCAACAAATTAGGCCATTTTAAAATATATTTTAACTGACAATATTTGAAAGAATACCCTATTACCCTATTTATATTATTTTATTTCTAATCTCACTATTTTAATCCTAATTAATTCTCCACCATATTTTAGTGTTTACTTTCAAACATCAGGAATCTGCTCTCCTTGCTTTTCACTTCAGACACAAAAGCACCTCTCTCTCTGCCTGTATCTCTCTGCTCTGACTTTATTTGTCAGCAGTTTTATAAAATAGTGAAAAAATAATAATATAAAAAATAGTGAAGTCTTACATCAAGCAAGAAAGGAAAAGAATTTAACTTTCAAAACTGCAGTTTGAACATTAAATAGATCTTCCTTTTACTGTATTCAATTAAACACAGGTCAAAGAGCCTTTGCAAATCACAGCATTCTAATTTTACACAGCATCCCAACATTTTTGGAATTGGGGTTATATAAATATATCAATTATACCCATTTTAAAGTATTTAGCTAATGAAACATAGTAGTCATAATACAATACAACTGTTGATAACCACAATCGCTTACTTCCAAAATCTCGAACAGTGAAGTTTCTGTTGCGAAGCTCTTTGGGGGACTTGAAGAAGAACCTCTGGCCGACAGGAGGAAGGTCTTTGTCCACAGCACTGACTATCTGGATCACCTGGTCATGGAAAAAACAGAGAATCTGCCTAGCACACTGAATCAGAGAACCCTAGAGAGAAGTTTGTGACTTCTAAATTTAAGATTGGTGGTTTAAATCTTTGTTCAAATCTCTTGGCTGGCAGGGCAAATGTCGAGAAGGAAAATGGTAGGTAGGTACATTTGTCACAATGTAACAGTTTATATAGTGAAATTGAGTTTTGGAACTCCAGAAGCAATTATAAAAATGGTAAACAGAAATAAACTATCATCACTGGAGCAGTGCTGGGGATGAATTTGAGCTTAAAAGTCTGATAGCTTGGGGAGGAAAGCTGCTCTGCAGTCTGGTGGTGTGGCAGCTGAAACTTCTGAAATTGAAACAGTAACTAATGTTGTTTTGTTAATATATAATTCAATTATATTCAGCACTCTCTGAAGTATTTGATTATAGGAGAGTGTATGGCTATATCAGATTCAAAATAATAAATTGTTACCATTTAAATAATACACGTGTGTAACAATGTTCCACACAATGAAATTAGTCTTGATATGCAATCAACAGATCATTTCAAGCAGAACTAGTTCAGTTTACCTGTCCGACTCTGGAGTTTTCACAGACGAAGGTATCTGAAAGAACTGTCAGCTCAGGAGGGAACTCGTTCACATCCAGGACGTTGACTGTCACTGACACTTTGATAGACAGCAGAGGGTTGTCTGTAAGGGTCAACATGAAGTTGTATATGACTATGACACAGCCAAATGTGTTAATCCAACAAAATGACAGTGAGTGTGTATCAGTGTGGCCTTAGAAATGATGGCTACAGTGTATACACTGTGAGACATCAAGACAGTATTTCCATATATAATAAATATATAATAAATAAATATATAAAGTAACTAAATATAGTCAATGGGTCAAGCCAGAATTTGGTACCACCTAAGGTGACAAAATCTCATTGGTACTAGTTTGTTTGACTTCAAAACTTCAAAACCTCATCCCAACTGTGAGGTATGGTGGAGGAGGAATCATGGTTTAAGGCTGCTTCGCTGCCCCATGGCCTAGAAGGATTGCTATCATCGCGGGAAAAATTAATTCCATTGGTTGAGGTTATTGCTGTCAAAGGAGGGTCAACCAGAAATTAAATCCAAAAATGAAAATGTTTACAACATGAAAATATATAATTGTTTGTGTGGTATTAGTTTAAGCAGACCGTGTTTATTGTTGTGACTTAATTGAAGATCAGATCACATTTTATGATCAATTTATGCAGAAATCCTGGTAATTCCAAAGGGCTCACATACTTTTTCCTTTAACTGTTTATGGTCATGCTAATAGTTTGAAAAGTTTCCTAATGTTGCTGGCCATCCTGGAAATCTCCCACAAACTCAACATGGCTCAGTGACACCATGTTTTTCCTCCAGCTGTAGAAAATTACTTTCAAAGTGTCAACAGACCGTTTTGGGTATATATACACAATTTGTAGGTAACCCCACCAGATTAAGACTTATAAGACTTGACATCAAATATCTTTTTTGGATAGACAGGTGGGGTTGGGGGGATGTTTCATTGGTTTCCTGTGTTGTTTCATTTTCATTCTTAGGGCCCGTGTCCACCAAAGCGTTTTTTTCTGACGCCAGCATCTTTTTTCAATAATTCCAATGGGAGCGCCACGTTTTTCCAAGCTGGTAAAAACGCCAGCAGCGTGACGAGGCGCTGAGCGTCTTTTCCGCGCCGGACGCTGAGCGTTTTTTTCCGGTCGCCGAGAGTTGAAAAATGTTCAACTTTGGGAAATACGCTGCGCTCGTCACTGTCACTTTTTACCCAGCTGTCCAATCACAGTGCAGGAGGGGCGGGACAAATACCACAACGTAGCAACGGTTACTATCCTGGAACGGGGCTTCGTCCTCTTGGACTAAACGGTGGTACTCGCCGAGATGTTTCCTCACCCACAAAATTATAAACCCACATATGGCCAGTCCGTCCTCTCTCTCTACCTGCTTCAGCCTTTTCTTCATACAGAGCAAGGGCCAGAGCAAGTACTCTGCTCTGTGTTGACATTTTTACATCGAGTAGGTAGAACTACTTGCAATCACGGATTTTATTTATCATAGCAGTCAGAAAGCAGGCCTCAAAAACTAAACCTTTCATGCTTAGAGATGCTGCTGTCGGTCATTTTAAACATCATGTGCGCAATAAAGTCACAACAAATATATACACGGGGCATTTAAGCAGCACAAAAAAAACAATGTATAAACTTGACATGACAAGACAGAGGAAACTCTCCAGAAGGCAGAGCATTCAACTTTTGGCTTCTGAAATAATTTAGACGCTCTGAAGGAGCTCAGGATGGATCAGGAGGATGCTGCTTTACTCCAAACACTGTGTGTGAGAGCTCTTGGATGTGGAGAAGAACACAGAACATGAATTAACATTTGATCCTGAGCGATCCTGTTGCTTGTCAGGAAATTTTAATATTAAGTTATGTTGCTGTGCCTTGTGCGTAAATCCACACAGCGTCTCTTACCATCGGAGTAATGCGCCCCTAAAATAAGAAAAAACAGTGAAATACTATGCCGTTGACTTGACAATGGTGCACTCGCTTTCTGCTGCCTCAAAATAGCATTGCAACAACAATTTGCCTGAGTGACCACATCTCATTTTAAGATCAACACTCCCATGGGTGCATAATTTGCATAATTTGCTGTTTAAATAACGTGGGCACTTGGCGTGAAAATGACAACTGTGTCAGTTGGAAACTCGCAATGACACTTGTGCTGCGCTGTGAGCCGCTTTGTGCAAGGTGTAAGATAGGGCCAACAGAGAGCTAAATAGAGCGAGTTGGGGTGGTGGAGAGCGACGATCATGTATGCACTCTGAGAGTGCGCGAACCCAAATGCTAGTGCGCCACAGTTCTGGTCGTCCCCAGGGTCAGATCGTCTGAGTTGTACTGTAACGTCCTGTGTCTGACGCTGAGGCTCCATGAAATGACTTGAACTGTGACGCAATGGCATTTGGGCTTTCCATCATGATAATACGCTCACAGACTGGAGACTAATTTGCTTGCTACAGGTCACAGGAGTGTACATATGTTAGTAGGCCATTACCTGGAGCTGTTTCATTAAAAGTAACAAAAGCTGGTTGCTGTTTTGACACAGTGGAGATCATATTTTATCACATTTTATTCTTTTTTTGGCTTTATGTTCATTGCGTTTCCATAGCAGCTGTTTTATTTGCAAATTTGATAAAACCTGGGCAATAGTAATTAATAATAAAATATGATTATGGTTTATGGTTATTTAGGCTTATTGGCTCGCATCTGCCATCAAGGCTATTTTTCAAAATCACATCAGGTACGGTGTGGATGGATAGAGGCTAATTGTGCTAAATGATAATCTATGGTTACAAATGTGAAAAACCCCTTTTTTCCCTTTCTCTTACTCAGGGATTTGTTCCAATGTAGGCAGTCTTGCATGAAGACATAAAACTAAGCCTAACTAGACCATATCAGGTGTGATGAATCTTTAAACACTGCAGAATTAACTCAGTGGAGCTGTTTGTGGCTCCAGGTGATCACAGCTGAGGGAGGTGCAGTGCAACACCTCCTGGTCATTTTCTGTAAATCCTTTTCATGTGCTTGCTGTTGGTTCAATGCCATCAATCACACTTTACTGTCCAGAGCATTTACTAAAATAAACCTTAATCTGTGAGGCTAGACTAAATAACAGAAACATCTTTGTTTTATTCGCTACAGTTTGACAGCACCACAAACTACATGCTCCAAACTGATCATACAGTTGAATCGCCAACCTCTATTAAACTGTTAATCTCTTAATCATGAAGGGGGATTTATTGCATTATGTAATTAGTTTTTGATAATAAACTTTAAACTGAGTGCATATTTTTGTGTAGACATTGCATCGTCTTAAGGCAAAGAGGAATTCTTTGGTAGACACTTAATTTTGAAGAGTAGCCTGAAGCACAAACATAACTGATAGAGCACACTATCTAATCAGAAGCAAGGGGTTGATGAAGTCCCACCCACCAATGAAAGGAAACATTGAGTAATAAATTTGTTTTGAAGAAAGGAAAAGAAGACATTGTGCTGAATTCGGTTTTTTTGTTTGATAAAAAAAACAAAAAAAACGTTTTGGGCAATGTCAATGTGTACTTTGTGTGTTACACTTGATAAACCTGCAGAAGATACACTTGGGCGATTATGAGAATTGATACCCAATTATGAATTAATATTCATAAAATCAAAATTTTCCTCATTTCAGGGCACCACCGGAGTTGTTATAATCCTAGAGTCTCCGGACCTCTAGGTAGTTTTAATAATTATACAATTATTACTAGTGATCAGTTAGTTAATAATCGCTCAATTATCTTAAATCAGTCAGTCAGTCTCATATCTAAAGGGTCAATTCTCTTGGCAGGAACTAGAAATAGGCAACACACACAGCTCTTGATTATATTACAGTGAATTTATTCTCTAACTAATGTGATAAGACGATGGTTGGATACAGGGAACATAAACATTTGCTGAACAATGAGCCTGGAGGTTCGATTGTGGGAAGCATTTGACTCATACGGCATAGAAGAGCTAATGAAAGTAAGCTAATGCTATAATTTAGGAGTTAAAATGGACATGTGATCACAGAACGTGTGAAATCTTACTGCTTGTCGACAGCCTGCTTTTGGCCTGTTGCTGGTCCCACGCTAGCAGCCCAATCCTGGCTTTTTGCTAGGGATTCTCTGGGGTTCTCCGTGTCTGATTGAAAACGCCTCCTCCGTCTGGCAATTCGGCTGTTTTCAGGTTTCCTTCGTTGTAGCTGGCGAGACCACGTGGCTTGGTCTGACCTCGGTGAAGTTGGCTCGACGAAAAAGGCTTAAAATGGAACTTGGTCGTTCCTGAATTAGTCCAGTGTAACTTAACGGACTGATAACTTTAACAAACAAAAGAAATAAAGAAAAATAAAAACAAACTGAAGGGCAGATCGATGTCGCGGCACTTCAGGTGTGTAGCTTCAGGCGAACAAAAGGCCTGTTTCGCTGGCCGAGTCTGGGCGTTGCCTGGCGAGGCACGCCAAACACGTGCCGAAGCGTCCAGAGGGCCGAGCAGAGTGGAAGAGGCCAACAGCGAAGAGAAGGTCGAGAGGTCGCGTGTCGCTCTTTTGTTGCCTGGGGCGTGGTTCCCCATGGGGCGTCTCAGGTTTCCCAAGGGACTGCCTTTCTAAACTTAATGTCTAAAAAGAAATGTATTTACACGTATTATAATCAAATATTTTCCACAATCGAACCTCAATGGTCGAACGGTTGTACTGTTCTAGGCATTTGGTAACAGGAAACAATTGTCACATTACTGGTCAGGATATTTATACATTAACGGCATTTCCGACGATGGTATGTAATACTTATTTCGTCCACTTGGGGGAGCTCAGGTTACATGAGGAAAGCTTGGATTAAATCAAAGATCGTCTGGGAATATTGTTGATTCATCCTTAAATTCAAGCTGGCGATTAAGAGTATAGTAAAACATTCCTTTGTCATCATCTCTAAAGAAATTTTGTAGGAAAGTATTATGAACAAGCACTGATTACATCAGATGAAGGAGTGTCTTGCTGAAAATAAAAACACTGCACAAGAGACTTCTAACCTTCCATTTCTCTCTAAGGTCCTGGAGAAAGCAGTTGCTAAACAGCTGTGTTTAGCAACT